AGCACCATTTGACTAGAATTTAATTGACACGTTTTTCTTCATAAAATGACTGGAACAATACACCGAACAATGTGTAGCTCATATGGCTTGCATCTTTCATACTCTTCTTTTGATAAACATTCTTTTTCTTTCAATTCTGCGAGAAACAGAATCACCAGCATCAAGAGTCATTGAGATATTTTTCAAACTAGTGTCTCTTGATTGACATGAAGTTAAAAATTCCAACGAGAGACTACTTCCAGGGGTTTATGGCAAGCATATTTTCAGAATACTAGGAAATAAAAGAAAGCAACTTTTGTGCTTTGGTCACGTGTTTACAACTTCATTTTCCTACCCATGTGTATTTATTACTACCTTAAACTCTCAGATGCAAGAAGTATTCATTCACTTACTGCATACCCAGCTCTTGAGAATCTGCTCGGAAAATGCTGATTTAGAGAGGTGGGCATGTGCCTCCCACATTTGAGGGATTCAGACTGAGAGCTGCTGAACCATTGGGTACAGAAATGTGTTAGAAAAAAATGTAAAGAAATGATTTCCATTCTTCGTTGACTATTAGAAGAATAAAGAAAATTATAGCTTCTGGACATAAACCAGTTTGGTGACACAGCCTGGTGGTTTAGTAGTTTAGTAGTTTAGTATTTAGTTCTTTATTTCCTCTTAACAGCTTGATTGGAATAAAGTTCATATAACATAAAATTTATGGGTGTAAAATGTATAGTTTGTTGGCTTTAGCATCTACACATAAGCATGCCTCCATTATAGCAATTTCAGAACATTTTCATTACTCCAGAAGGAAATACCGTTCTCTTGACCATCATCTCAGTTCCCATACCTGCCCAACCCCAACTTTAGGCACATGCTACCCTGCTCTTGAGTTTCTGTAGGTTTTTGTCTTCTGGAAATTTTATATAGATAATCATGCACCCATGTTATTGCATGTATCAATACTTTTCTTGCCAATCATATTTTATATAAAGCGATACACCCATTTCTTGCATCTATAAATGCTGTTTTTACTGCCAAATAGTATTAAATTTTGTGGGCATTTGCCACATTTTGGTAGGCATTCATAAGTGACATTTAAAATCCATAGGAAACCTTCATACGTTGAATAGATAGTCTGTTCCAGGCACTGGAGGTACAAGCCAATGATAGGGTTACTAACAAATGGTTTATTAAATGTACTGTTTCTAAGGAAGGGAGAAAAAGTCTGTAAAGGACTGATTTCTGCTCTCTAAGAAGAAGACCCAAAAGGTATAGAAAAGGAAGTGTTACCACAAAGGCATCATAAGTCAAGTAAGCTCTGGACACAGAAAGTTAAGTCTGTCTTGAAAGACAGAGTTCAACTGATTGGAACAGACTTTGCATATTAGCTGGCATTAGTACCATAATTTGGAGTTATTGAAGTATAAAAGAAAACAATTTGAGTTTCATCTTTTATTAGGAGCTTTGTTCATTTACTCTTTGGCAGAATAGATATTTTGCCTTTAAAATTGAATCCTGTTGTGGAGGAGACATCTGGTAAACAAAATTTTAAAGTATTCTCTCACTGGTATAAATGACTGTTTAGTAGAGCAGCAGCAGTTTTTGAATGTGATCATGGTTCTCTCTTACCACTTCTAGTTAGGAAACTAGGGACAAGTTCCTTGTTCCCATGTGGCAGCAAAGGAGTAATTTATGTTTCATGTTTCGTTGGTTTTTAGCTCACCTAAAATTTCTTTTTCATTTTCTGAGGAGTAGTTAAATGATGGTATCTAGAAGTTACCTAGGGGTTGGAGCCATAGCACAATGGGTAGGGCATTTGCCTTGCACACGGCCGACCCGGATTTGATTCCCAGCATCCTATATAGTCCCCCGAGCACCACCAGGAGTAATTCCTGAGTGCATAAGCCAGGAGGAACCCCTGTGCATCGCCAGGTGTGACCTCCCCCCCAAAAAAAGTTACCTAAACACTGATGCAATGGATGGTTCTGCCTAATATGTGATTGTATCTTACTTTTTTTTACTTCAGTTACCTTTTCTCCTCACTGTAATTTTATTTTAAAAAGTTGACTTTAGAACTATTCAGCCGGAGAGATAGTACAAGTAAGTCACTTGCCTTGCATGCAGCTGAGCAGGGTTCTATATTCTGCACCACATGGTCCCCAGAGCACGAAGCCAGGAGTAAGAAAAGGAAGTCCGGGGGTAACTTAGGGACCATGGGTACATCAGAAGTGTTGCAGTGAGGTGTCTGTCTGTATAAAGGTAAGGTAAAGGTAAAGGCCCTCCCGTTGATCATCGATTTGCTCGAGCGGGCCCAGTAACGTCTCCATTGGAGACTTTGTTGTTACTGTGTTTGGCATATCGAATATACTCTCGGTAGCTTGCCGGGCTCTCCGAGAGGGGCGGAGGAATCGAACTCGGGTCGGCCATGTTGGTTGCGTGCAAGGCAAACGCCCTACCGCTGTGCTATCGCTCCAGCTCAGTCTGTCTGTATGTAAACCATAAAACCAATACTTTGATTGGCATGGAAACCAAACTGTGATCAAACTTAAACATGTGTCTGTAATGGAGGCATGCCTGAGGAAGGGGTCATGGGAACCTGGAGAAGGGAAGATGACACTGGTGGTAGAATTGGTGTTGGGATATTGGATGCCCAACACCTTACTATAGAAATCTTTGTAAATCATGGTGCCTCAATTAAAATTGATAATAGAAAAAGCCCTCAATTTACGGACTAATTCTTTGGATAATTTCATTAGAATGAAATCCCTTTGTCACTAATGTTAATATTCTGTCTAGCACTAGGAAAAGGGATTCCATAAAAGCCAAAATAAAAAGGAAGGAAGAAAAACTTCAGGAAAGGAGGGATTTCCAAATGCATACATATTTACACTTAAAGGTTCATTAAATCTCTTGAAAATACAGCATCCATCTTTTAACTTTTTTCCTCCTTGACTTGATCTCTTCAAATTCTGTCCTTCCTTGAACCCTAGATTGGAGCCTGTGAAGTAGTGTAGAACCTGCCCTGACAAATCTCTGACTCAAAGGGAGATCTTCCTGCCCCTCCTTCAGCAGGGGGCCAAACATAGAACAAGTTTCATATCAGCTGACTGCAGTAGCTGAGAACGGTTATGATGATATTTAGTTCAAGTACTGTACTCCACATTTAATTGTTTTCTGACCCTAAACAAATATCACCTTTTTACAGTGACACTTTTGGTTTTTTTTGTAGGAGTATTGCTGTTTATTCAGCCATTGATTACACTGATTGAAATGGTCATGAACTCCACCTTTTTTTCCCCTTTTTTTAAAAAAATAATTTTTTTATTGATTGAATCACCGTGAAAGTAGTTACAAAGCTTTCAGGTTTAAGTCTCAGTCATACAATGAAACACCCATCCCTTCATCAGTGCCCATTTTCCACCATCAAAAACCCCAGTATGCCTCCCATCCCACACCATCCCCCTACCTGTGGGGCAGATGATTTCCACATTACTCTCTCTCTCTACTTTGATTACATTCAATATTTCGATACCAGACCCACCATTATTATTTGGGATTTTACCCCAGCACTCAGATCTGCCGAAAAGGCAACAGTAGACAATTTGTTTTCTGTTGCTGGTTATAAATAATATATGTTTTTGGAATTCCGAAATTTTAACAATTAAATCTGGAGGGATTTCTGCCAAAACCTGCTGGGTTCCGAGATTTGTTCTTGAGTCTCTGGGATCATGGCCGTTAAGCAGCTTGATCAGGAGCCAGAGAGGCTGTTCGTGGGCGGCAACTCAGGGTCTCATTGGGGTGGGGAGGAAAGGGCCGGCTCCATCCCCATCCTGTGAGACCCCATGTGTCTCATCACTATGGGCCCAAACCTGACTGTCAGGTGGCCTCTGGAGGATGGTGGCCACCGAGCCGCCAAGGGGGAGCAGGCAGAGGGACAACACCCTTTCCCCCCTGGGGTGGCCTGGTGACAGTAACCCACTGTGGGGTCCAGACACGTCTCTGCCAAAAGTCGCTAGGTTTCAAGATTTGTTTCTGAGTCTCTAGGATCATGGCTGTTATGATCAGGAGCCAGAGAGGCCATTAGTGGGCGGCGACTTAGGGTCTCATTGGGGTAGGGAGGAAAGGGCCGGCTCCACCCCCATCCCATGAGGCCCCGAACTCTTGTCACTGTGGACCCAAACCTGACTGTCCAATGGCCTCTGAAAGATGGCGGCCACCAAGCTGCCAAGGGTGAGCAGGCGGAGGGACAACACCCTTTCCTCCTTGGGGTGGTCCGGCACTGGTAGCCCATTGTGGGTACCAGATGCATCTCTGCCAAAAGCTGCTGGGTTTTGAGATTTGTCTCTGAGTCTGTGGGATCATGGCCATTAAGCAGTTCAATCAGGAACCAGAGGGACCTTGCCTCCAATTATATAGCTGAAGTGGTTTGTGGGTGTGTCTCCCACATACCTAACTTTTGACTGTTTGCGTTCTTGGTAAACTTTGCCCCAAGTTTTTGGTGTCTGGCGAAAGGCACAGCAGCAATTTTGGGGTATCTGGAAGTCTGAAGGTGCCATCAGGCTGCTGATGCACTCGCCTCACAGGCACAGATTGACCTGCTGGCAGCACCATACCCCCAGTGACACTGTTTTAGATGTCACTGTTTAATCTACATAATGAGACCATTAACTCCTTGAAAGGTAACACAAAAGTTGTTGAGTTGGGGACTTGAGCTAGCCAGGTTCGATCCCCAAACCTATTTCATAGGTTTCCCGAGCACCTCCAGGACTTAATTCCTAAGTGCAAAGCCAGAAGTAAAACCTGAACACCACCAGGTATGACCCCAAAAGTCAAAAAAACTTTAAAAACCTTCATTTTGATGTGTTTTTTTTTCCCCTCAACAGGACGTGAAAATGTCAGAGAAGTGTACTACACCATCATTAAACATTAATATGACACCCAAGGATCAGCTTGGTGTCGAGGAACAACCTAGTGAGGAGGAACAGCCTGATATCAAGGAACAACCTGATGCTGAGAAACAGCCTCATGTCAAGGAACATCCTGATGTCAAAGAACAGTCTAGTGTCCAGTAAGTGGAAGCTTTGAATAACAAAAAGCATTTGTTACTTGCTATGTTATTTCATGTATGTTCCCTGAACTCTTCACCTGCTATTAGAAATAGGACTCCTAAGTTGTCTAATAAGCCTCTTCTTTAGTTGAATTGTAAGGACTTCCTGGTGATATTTGTGATAAGCTACTTTGAAATTGATTCAGAAGTGAATCTTCTATCACATAGGATACAAGCACATAGGTCCCATGTTTTGTCAAAGTTTCTTCAGAGAGAGGCCAAAGAGAGAGCTCAATGGACTGAGCGCACACTTTGCACATAGAAGGCTTGGGTTCAAACTCCAGCACAGCACCTGATTGTCCCCAAGCACCAAGAAGAGCAACCTCTAAGAGTAGTCCCTGGGAGGTGGGAGTTATCACTTTACATCAGCCCAAAAACCAAAACTAAAGTTTATTTGTAGAGAAATTAGATAGGATAGCCCAAAAGTCTAGTGTACCTGTGGCCCTCAAACCTAAAAAAGACCCATTCTAGAAAGAGCAATCAAAATACAGAAAGAAAAGTCATTTTAATACCGCTCTACAGATTGGTTTCACAGAAACCTTTTCTTATACTTTATGTTAAGATCTGATAGTTATGCATGATCCTAAGGCACTTTTATAAATTTCAGGCAAGAAGAACAACACAATTCTAACATCACAATAGATGGTAAAGTTGGATTATCAATGAATATCATAAATTGTTTCCTTTAAGTATGATTAACTTTGTTAGTAAATTTGTAAAAAATGTGAAGTAAATAAGCTAAATCAGCTAAATATGTTTTGAAATGGTCATGTCATCTACTGTGGCTCAATCCTATCTCAGTAGACATTTCATTTTTAACCTTTTATAATATATAGGAATTGATTGGCTATTTGTTCCATTTATTTCTTTTTTTCATTTTTTATAATTTTATTTATTGAATCACCATGAGAGCAGTTACAAAGCTTTTGGGTTTAAGTCTTGGTCATACAATGAAACACCCATACCTTCACAGTGCCCATTCTCCACCCCCAACAATCCAGTATACCCCCATCCCACACCCTCCCCATACCTGTGGGGCAGATGATTTCCACGTTACTCTCTCTCTACTTTGATCACATTCAATATTTTGACACCAGACCCACCATTATTATTTGAGATTTTACCCCAACACTCAGGTCTGCTGAAAAGGCAACAGTAGACAATTTGCTCTTTATTGCTGGTTATGAATAACATATGATGTCGCGTGGCTGCAGTAGTGGCCGCGCGATTTTGAAATTCCAAAATTTTAACACTTAAATCTGGAGGGATTTCTGCCAAAACCTGCTGGGTTCCGAGATTTGCTCCTGAGTCTCTGGGATCATGGCCGTTAAGCAGCTTGATCAGAAGCCAGAAAGGCCGTTCATGGGCGATGACTTGGGGTCTCATTGGGGTGGGGAGGACAGGACCGGCTCCACCCCCATCCCATGAGGCCCAAAATGTCTCATCACTGCGGGCCCAAACCTGACTGTCCAACGGCCTCTGGAGGATGGCGGCCACCGAGCCACCTGGGGGAAGCAGGTGGAGGGAAAACACCCTTTCCCCCCTGGGGTGGCCTGGCGACAGTAACCTACTGTGGGTTCTGGACACATTTCTGGCAAAAGTCGCTGAATTTTGAGATTTGTTTGAGTCTTTGGGATCATGGCCGTTAAGCAGCTTGATCAGGATCCAGAGAGGCTATTTGTGGGCGATGACTTGGGGTCTCGTTGGGGTGGGGAGGACAAGACCGGCTCCACCCCCATCCTGTGAGGCCCAAAATGTCTCATCATTGCAGGCCCAAACCTGACTGTCCAGTGTCCCCTGGAGGATGGCGGCCACTAGGCCGCCAGGGGGAACAGGCCAAGGCACAAAACCTATTCCCACCTGGGTTATCCCAGCACCGGTAACCTACTGCAGGGATTTGACGCATTTCTGCCAAAAGCCACTGGGTTTCAAGATTTGTTTCTGAGTCTCTGGGACCATGGTCGTTAAGCAGTTCAATCAGGAACCAGAGAGGCCATGCCTCCAATTATATAGCTGAGCCGGAGGTGGTTTGTGAGTGTGTCTCCCACATACCTAACTTTTGACCATTTACTTTCTTGGTAAACTTTGCCCTAAGTTTTTGGGATTTGGCCAAAGGCACAATAGCAATTTTGGGGTATCTGGAAGTCTGAAGGCGCCATCAGGCTGCTGATGCACTCTCCTCACAGGTGCAGGTTGACCTGCTGGCGTCACCATACCCCCGTCCATTTATTTCTTAACTTTGAAATGACATTTTAACTTAGTAGTTTTTATGTTCAAAGTAATCAGGTGATTTTCTTCAAGATATATATATCCCTTTATTTAAAATGAAGTCCATATCACCTTTATTTACCTTTATTTGATGTGAGCATACATTTGATACATGGTGAATGCTGTGCTGATTTAATATAAAATCTCTGTGAAGGCATGGCATTCTATTTGGGCACCATGGTTTACAAAGCTGTTAATAATTGATCCTCTATGCCTATTTCCATGTCATCTGAAAATAGAGATAATTAGAATTCCAAGATAGCACAGCAGTAGGGTGTTTGCCTTGCGTGCAGCCAGGCTGGCCGAGCCGGGTTCAATTCCTCTGCCCCTCTCGGAGAGGCCGGCAAGCTACCGAGAGTATTCAATATGCCAAACACAGTAACAAAAAGTCGTTACTGTGGAGACATTACTGGGCCCGCTGGAGCAAATCGATGAACAACGGAAGGACAGTGTTTGTTTGTTTTGACAGTTGCTAGCTTAATTACTACTGGGGTTTTCAATAGTATGTTGAATATAGAGGACAAAGTAGGCATCTTTGCATTGTGTGTGATCTCAGAGGAAAGCCTTTTAGGTTTTCACTGTTGTGTGTAACATTGCCAGTGAGTTTATTGTAAATGGCTATTACTATCTTAAGGAAGTTTGCTTTTATCCCTGTTGTGTTGAGGATTTATATCATGAATGTGTGTTGGATTTTGTCAGAAGCTTTTTCTGTCTATTAATATAATCACACAGATATTTCTGTATCAAGTGTTGTAATTGATGTAATACACAATATAATCGATGGAAATTAATAAATTTTATTGAATATTACATTAATTTGCTTCTAATAAATGCTCTTTTTTTTGCTTTTTGGGTCACAGCTGGTGATGCACAGGGGTTTTTCCTGGCTCTGCACTCAGGAGTCACTCCTGGCGGTGCTCAGGGGACCATATGGGATGCTGGGAATCGAATCTGGGTTGGCCGCACGCAAGGCAAACGCCCTACCCGCTGTGCTATCTCTCCAGGCCCATGAATACTCTTTTCATTCTTTACATGAGACCCACTTGATTGTGGTGTATTGATTCTGATATGTTGTCAAATTTAGTTTGTTAAGATTTGTTATGGATTTTTACATTGATGTTCAACTGTGAAATTCATCTGAAAAATTTTTGGTAATATTTCTATCTGCTTTTAGTATTAATGTAATTTTTCCTTCAGAGAAACTTGTATAAAGAATTTCTGTTTATTTCACATTTGGGAAGTTTGAGGAATATTAAGTATTAAATCTTTTTGAAAGGTTTGCTAGAACTTACCCATGAACCCATGTAGACCAGTCTCTTTTTGGGGAGATTTGTAATGACTTTTTCAATTTTCTTGCTTGGAATTGGTCTGTTCTATTTTCATATTTCTTCAGTATTGCTATTAGGGAGGTTTTACGATTCTAAAAAGCCTTGCCTTTCTCCCTGGTTCTCCTGCTTGGTGGCATCTACTGTAGCCTGTATTTTTGTATTTGGATGCAACTAATATTGCCAGCTCTTGATTGTCTGAGAATGTATTTATCCCTCCCTCAAGTCTGACAGTTTTGCAATATAGAAGGTTTTAGACTGAAGAGACATTCAGTGCTTTGAATATGACACTCCCTACTTCTATGGTTTCAGGGGAGAGATCTGTTGTGATTTTTCTTGCCTGTCTCTTAGTTTCCTTTGTGATGAGGAAAGTTGGGTGGTAAGGCACTAAGTGTGGCATGGTTCCCAAATGCCGTAGAGAGATAAGTTCCAATTTCTCTCCTGTCACCTATGGAAAGCCAAGGCAAGAGAGTTTTTATTTTATTTTTTTAATTTATTTTTTATTTTTAAAAATATTTTATTAATTATATTAATATTATTAATATAGAATATATAGAAAATATATATAATATAATATTAATAAATTATATATTAATATGTAGTATTAATATATAATATTGTTAATATTAATAATATTAAAATATTATTTTAAAATATTTTTATTAATGAAACACCATGAGGTACAGTTATAGACTTATAAATTTTTGTGCTTGGATTTCAGTTATACAATGATCAAGTACCCTTCATCCTCCACCACCACGGGTCCCAGCATCCCTCCCACCCCCCATCCTCCCCATCCCACCCTGCCTCTGTGGCAGGGCATTCCCCCTTGTTCTCTCTCTCTCTTCTTTTGGGTACTGTGTTTTGCAAGAGAGGCATTGAGTGGCAATCATGTTTGGTCTATAGTCTACTTTCAGCATACTTCTCTTACCCTGGGAGGATCCTCACAACACCCTTTATTTGGTGTTCTCCTCTCTATCTGAGCTTCCCTTTCCCCTAGCATGTGTGGCTGGCCTCCAAGTCATGGAGCAAAATTCCTGGTACTAATCTCAGCCATTCCTGGGTATTAGTCTCCCATTTTGTTGCTTTATGTTCCCCAGATGAATGCAGTCTTTCTGTGTCTATCCCGCTCTTTCTCACTCATTTCGCTTAACATGATACTTTCCATGTAATACCACTTGTATGTAAATTTCATAACTTCATCTTTTCTAATGGCTACATAGTACTCCATTGTGTAAATGTACCAAAGTTTCTTTAACCAGTCATCTGTTCTTGGGCACTCAGGTTTTTTTCCAGATTCTGGCTATTGTAAAGAGTGCTGCAATGAACAAACAATTGCAGACTTCGACTGTACTTTTTTGCCTCTCT